CCCCACTCCCCCAGCCCCCAGCTACGAGCCCAGCACTCACAGCGCCTCCAGGCTGGGAAAAGAGCTGATGAGCTGGCTCAGCTGAGGCAGGAGCAGACCATAGCCCCCCTCCTCGTTCTCGCCAGGGGCCAAGCCCACCTATTGGGTAACAACAACTTGCATACCCACATTTAGCTAACCAAAGATGAATAGAACAGCCAAGCAGAGCTGCCACTGAGCAGGGGCAACCTGAATGATCCCCATGAGCAGATGCCCACCACCCCCACCCCTACCCCTGGCACAACCTTGTTAGGTTTTCGGAAATATATTTTTAAACTTCACAGGCCACAAATGATGCCCTTACAGCCTTTTCAGGACCTAGAGACCCCAGTTTGGGAACCACTGCTCTAAAGGGTCAAAGTCTGATGCCTGCTTTTCCCATCAGAATCTGAATCTTTTTCAAGGATTTGCTTTGAGTGGGCAATGCTTAACTCATAGGAAAGATCCCTCATGGTGGGAAGTTACACAACAAACGGTGGGGCAAAGATGCTTTTGAGCAGGAGGATGTCACCCTTGTTTTAGGAAATTGATGTCCTGCCCATGAAACTGTGGGAAAAGGACTTTGGGAAGTTAGAGGCCAGACCGAGTTAGAGGACTCTCAAGACCTCAAGGAAAGGCATTGATCTCTGGGGACATGGCAAGGGATATGGGAGAGAGACCGTCATGCTACCGGCTGTGTCCTTCACAGGTGAGGTCTTTTATGCGACGTCTCCAGAGAAGTTCACTTTCCAAGAAGCATCCAATGAATGCCGGCGGCTGGGCGCCCGGCTGGCCACCACCGGCCAGCTCTACCTGGCCTGGCAGAGCGGCATGGACATGTGCAGCGCGGGCTGGCTGGCTGACCGCAGCGTGCGCTATCCCATCTCCAAGGCCCGACCCAACTGTGGGGGCAACCTGCTGGGCGTGAGGACCGTCTACCTGCACGCCAACCAGACAGGCTACCCCGACCCCTCATCCCACTATGATGCCATCTGCTACACAGGTGGGGCTGCAACCAGAGGCTCAGGAGGGGGGTTCATGCCACAGAGGAAGAGAAGATCTTGGAAAGGGAGGGTTGGTTTTTGCCCCTTCAAGAGGCCACTGGGTACCTGAGCCTCATGTTTTTAGCATCCTCTCATTTTATTTTTTTCCATTATATATGTCTATGGGGTACAGTTTGTTGTTTCAATACACGCCTATATTTTATAATGATCCCATCAGAATAGTTAGCGTATCTATTACCTAAACATTTATCATTTCTTTGTGGTTATAGCATTCAAGATCCTCTTTTCTGTCTATCTTGAAATACACAATACAGTATTATCAGCTGTTGTCACCCTGGGGCACCAGAACTTACTCTTCCTATCTAATTGTAACTTTGTAACTTTGTACCAGTCTACCAACTTTCCCCAGTCCCCCGCCCCCCATTTTCACAGATTCCTAGGAAGAGCAAAGGTACAAATGTTAGAGGCTGCAGCGTATCCAGCCCTGTCTCATCCAATCAGCACAGAACAGGGTTAGAAGCATGAGCTGTAGAATCTGCTTTGTCAGGTCTGAATCGCAGCTCTGCCTTGCAACTTACTACATTGCAACCCTGGGAAAGTCAAGGCCTGAAGCCTCGCTTTCCTCATCTGTCTAATGGGGTGATGGTGGAATCATATGGAAGATGGCAGGAGCCTGACATGAGACCATGCTCCCACTGGAGGGCGCTCTCATCTGGCCTTTTAAACTGAATGAGCTTCAAAGGAGGGTCAAAGTGTAGAAAAGAGAAGGGGAAGTTTGACAGGGACTTTATTTTGAAAAATTAGACTAAATTTTTTTAAATAAGTTTTTATCTCATATTTAACACAATTTATTTTATGATTACAATTAAGTGCTAATTCCTGGAGGAAAAAACAATGAATAAGATGGATGAGGAGTTGTATAAATTTTACAATGGAATAGGTGATAAGGCAATAACAGCTGATTTCATATTTCACTTCCACAGCAAAAAGGGTTATTTTGGGGGTCGGCCCCGTGGCTCACTCGGGAGAGTGTGGCGCTGAGGCCGCGGGTTCGGATCCTATATAGGGATGGCCAGTGAGCTCACTATCTGAGCGCAGTGCGGACCACACCCTGCCGAGGGTTGCAATCCTCAGTCAAAAAAAAAAAAAAGGGTTATTTTTGCAAAAATAATTAGGATCTCTCCCCATAACCTCTCTCAACCTTTCGATATTCTTTTTTTTTTTTTTTCCTTTTGTCTTTTTTACTGACCGGCAACGGGATCGCAACCCTCGGTGTTGCGCCCACACCTCGCTCAGCCAGTGAGCAGGAACCGGTCTGTATGTGGGATCCGAACCCTCGGCGGGAGCGCCGCCACGCTTCCCAAGCGGTGCACTCTCCAGTGCGCCACCGGGCCGGCCCTTAACCTTTCGATATTCTAACCCCTCTCTTAGGAGTAGTATCACCCTTATGTATTTTCTCTGAATTAACTGGCTTACTTCTGCCAGACCCTCATTTGTCCATCACCGTGAGGCAGGCAGTTCTCCAACATCACCTTCATCAATTTCATGAGCTGCATCTTCTGTGAGACTTTACAGTTTCCCTTTATAACTGATTTACATCGTCCTGTTGGACAGTTACAATATAGACAGTCAGCAAGAGGCCTCTCAGGAGGTTGAGGTGGCACTGGTGACAAGCAGGATGGATGTCGGGTGAGAACTGATTTAATAAGCAGCATGCCAAGTGGTCAGTGTCCTGCATTCTTTTGCAAACGTGAAACTGTAGGGACTCCTATAGTGATTACCCAGATACCTGAGGACCCCTGCAGTGCACCAGGCAGCGTGCCTTCCTGCCCCAGCAGAGAAGGAGGGGAGCCCATGCTCACCTCCAGCTGCCCCTCCTCCCCGTCAAGCCAGTCCCAAGCTGAGTGGCTTAAGCTTGTCTTTGTCCCCTGCCCCAGGTGAAGACTTTGTGGACATCCCAGAAAACTTCTTCGGGGTGGGTGGTGAGGAGGACATCACTGTGCAGACGGTGACCTGGCCTGACATGGAGCTGCCGCTGCCCCGCAACATCACCGAAGGTGAAGCCCGCGGCAGTGCGATCCTCACCGTGAAGCCCATCTTCAGCATCCCCCCCACTGTGCCGGAGCTCGAGGAGCCCTTCACATCAGCCCCTGACATAGGGGCCACCGCCTCCCCTGAGGCTGAGAACAGGACTGGAGAGACCACCAGGCCCTGGAGCTTTCCCGAAGAATCCACACCCGGGCTGGGCTCTGCCACGGCCTTCACCAGCGAGGACCTGGTCGTGCACGTGACCGCTGCCCCAGGTGCAGCCGAGGTCCCTGGGCAGCCACGCTTGCCAGGGGGTAAGTGCCTGCTCCTCAGGGGTATACGGCAGGGAGCAGGTGGAAAGAACATCTCCTGGGGGTCAGAAGACCGTCCTGGTTGTGAGACCTGTGACAAGCCTCTCTCCTCTCAGACTCTGCTGTCCTCATCTGTAAAACAAAAAGGCCAGACCAGTCATGTCCACACTCTTTTGCCACAAAGCATTTATTTCAAATGAAGTCATATGTGGAAACCAATGTATCTATCAAGCAGATAAAGGTGCCACACGGATCTAAGTGGGGTGGCATGGAGAACTGGGGCTCCTCCTGCCCAGGGTCCCTCATTGCCCCATCAGGCACCTCCACAAAATAGAACCACTTGAAAACCACTGCTCTAGAGGACCCCTGAGGCCTCTCACAGCTCTGGCCTTCCAGGACAAGGGTCAGCAAACTATAGCCACCAGGCCAAATCCAGTTGTTCCTATATGGCCCATGAACTAAGAATGGTTTTTACATTCTTAGATAGTTGAAAGGAAAAAATTAACATTTTGTGACACATGAAAATTATATAAAATGCAAATTTCAGTGTCCACAAATAAAGTTTGATTGGAACAAAGCCATTCCCGTTGATTAAAGTGTGGCCTGCAGCTAACTTAGGACAGTCGTAGCAGGGCTCAGTAGTTGTAACAGAAACCACAGAGCCCACGGAGCCTAAAATATTTACTATCTGGCTCTTTCCAGAAGATGCTTCCAACCTCTGCTGTAGGATGATAGTGTTCCAGGTGCTTAATAAATGTCTGGAGGACTGGGATCCACACAGCACAGAGCTCAGCTGCTCCCCAAACTCAAGTCCGTGAACAAGAATATCCTGGTGTGACCTCCACCAGGGTCACGGTGATGTCCCCACCCAGGGGAGGGGCAGACGGACTGCCATGCACCGTTGCACCCACGATGCCACCAAGTGGGATTTCAGTCAGAATTGCCCAGACAAATCCAATATGTCAGAAGGGAGGAGTTGGGCTCCCTCCGTGCCCGTGAAGCCTTGAGAACCAGGCACCGTGGGCACCAGCATGGCAGTGCCCAGTCCACACCCTGAGCCTGACCTCTCTGTCCTTCTCTCTCTCTCCTCCCCACCCAGGGGTCGTGTTCCACTACCGCCCAGGATCCACCCGCTACTCGCTGACCTTCGAGGAGGCGCAGCAGGCCTGCCTGAACACCGGGGCGGTCATGGCCTCGCCCGAGCAGCTCCAGGCCGCCTACGAAGCAGGCTACGAGCAGTGTGACGCCGGCTGGCTGCAAGACCAGACTGTCAGGTGAAGGACAAGCTGGGCCCCTCTCCAGTCCAAACCCAACCTTCAGAGTCAGGCTTAAGGGGCCACAGTCTGGCATGGCACCCAGCAGAGAGTGGGAACCCAAGACCTTGTGGATTAATGAATGAATGAGTGACCCCACAGCTGCTTCTTTAATTTCTCCCCTAGAACTAAGACATATTCTGAAAGGATGGTGAAGGGCACCAGGTGATATTAAGTTCTTGGTCCTTTCCCCCCAAAAGACATACAAAGGGAGCCCCTGCTCCAGGGACTCCCTCCTCAAGTCTCGCAGTCCCCTGCAGCTTGGCCCAGTCCCCTTCCATGCAGCGGGCTCTCTTCCAAAACCAGGCATCCCCCAGGGGTCACCAGACCCTTCCCCAGCTGCTCAGGGAACGTGCTGCAGGAAGGGCTCCTTCCTGGTTTGAATCCCATCAGACAACTGGAGACACACCCTGCCCAAGTCCCCAGCTGGCCTCGCAGCCTCACCCTAGGGCCCTGCATTCCCCAACCTCCACAACAGGCTCTCATCCTTCCTTCCCATCCTCCTTTGCAGATACCCCATTGTGAGCCCACGGACCCCGTGTGTGGGTGACAAGGACAGCAGCCCGGGGGTCAGGACCTACGGCGTGCGCCCGTCATCAGAAACTTACGATGTCTACTGCTATGTGGATAAGCTGGAGGGTACAGGCCACATTCTCACATTTCGGGCCCTGATGGGCAGGGGGCTGACAGGGAGACACAAAGAGGAGGGGGATTACCACCCACCCACCCCTGCTTCCACCCAGCTTCCCAGGTGGGAAAAGATCCTGTTTATGGAAGAAGGCCCACCCAGCCCCGCTCTCAGATCAAGCCCCTTCTCTCCCTTCCAGGCGGTTCGTGTGGTTTCCCCAGCATTGCAGGGGAGCATTGGTTCCTTACAAAAGGAGTTTATTATTAAATAAATGTAATTTATTAAATTTATTATTAAATAAATGTAATAATAAAGTTATTTATATTATAAATAAATGTAATATCCACCATCTACCTCTTGGAGAGTCCCAATGCCTATAACCAAATCAAAGGCTCTGAGAAGTCCTGCAGTAAAAAACCTCTTTAATTCTCTTTAACTGGGCATTGCTTATTTATCACAGACCTTTATTCTGTTTTATTTCATTTCTTTTAAATTCAATGAAAATTATCAAATTACTACTCCACTGAACGCAATTTTAGAAATGCTGGTGTTCTGGAAAGATTTCAGCACTGTCATGGTTTCAGGACCCTGGGCAAGTCACTTTACCTTTCTAATCCTCCTTCCTCATCTATACAATGGGGCTAATTTATATGCATATCGGAGTTCATACAAACCAGAGCAGTTGGTCATCCTACTTCCCAGTGGCCCAGGAGATCTAAGGGGGAATGGTCAGGAAGGGTGGCCTGGGTTTTTAACCTGTGTGTGCCATGGTGGGTGTCTAACGCTGGTGGTAGGGTTGGGAGTGGCGGGAGCTCTGCCCCTGGATGACCAGAGGCTGCTCTGGCTGTGGGCATGGAGGCTCACACCACCACCCACATCTGCCCCCAGGGGAGGTGTTCTTTGCCACACGCCTCGAGCAGTTCACCTTCCAGGAAGCAGTGGAGTTCTGTGAATCCCACAACGCCACACTGGCCACCACTGGCCAGTTGTACGCCGCCTGGAGCCGTGGCCTGGACAAGTGCTATGCCGGCTGGCTGGCTGATGGCAGCCTCCGCTACCCCATCGTCACTCCACGGCCCGCCTGTGGTGGGGACAAGCCAGGAGTGAGAACCGTCTACCTCTATCCCAACCAGACAGGCCTCCCAGATCCACAGTCCCGGCACCACGCCTTCTGCTTCCGAGGTATGAGCCCTCGTCTCTTCTCTAGCACCCCCTTCTGCCGGCAGTGACCCCCCCTGGGCTCACCCCTCCTGGCCCCTGGCCACTATCCCCATCTATCAGTGCAAGCAACAAAAAGCCAGTCCCTCTGGGGTAAGGGCAGCTCCAGAGGGAGCAAGACCTTAGGCTTTGACCCCAGGGCAAGGTCATCCTTCTAAAGTTCCCCAGAGACAGGTAGAGAGAAGTAAGAACTTGGGCACTAAAATCAGGCAGACCTGAGTTTGAATTATGGCTCTAGTACTTAATAGCTGTGTGACCCTGGGCAAGTGCCTTAACCCCTCTTTTCCTCTGCTTCATCTACAAAATGGTGATATAATAGCTCCTACTTCAAAGAGAGTTGCCATGAGGACGTTCACTGGGATAGCGCATATGAAGCACTTCCACTATATATACGAGGGAACTTCAGAAAGGCCGTGGAAAATAGAATTGAAAGATAATGTGAATTTTGCCATAAACTTTTTGAAGTACCCTGGTATATATATGTGTATATAAACACACATATATATATACTGTTTTAAGTCGCACATGCATGTCAAATTACCTCCAGCTTGTATTTGTGATGAGTTTAATCAAATTATGCTATTCTTCACTAAGCACCAGTAATTCACGGTTTTAATCGACCCATGCCATGGCGACGCTACCATGACAACCATCACTACCAGTTAGACGCCTGTGAGTGATGTCATCAGCAATGCAGTGGGCGTGGCCAGGGCGTGGCCAAGGCATTGCTGGGCTCTAATTGGATGACTTCTCAGAGTCTGTGGAGTGTCTGGGTGCACGGATCAGAATGTAAATTGTAGTTACAGCTTGTGGCATATTTTCCATATTATTGTCAAAACTGAATGCCTTTGCAACTTTATGTGACTCTATCATTATTTCCAAATAAAGTTATTGGCTTTCTTCCTAAGCCCCCTGCTGGTTTCCCCCCAACGAGAGGGCTACCCTCAGTTGATGAATCCTACCCTCACCGCTGCAAATGCCAGGGTGACTTTCATGGCATTTAAGTAACACGCTCCTGTTTTTGGTCCTGACACACTTGGAGCATAATCTCTGTCCCCAAGATAGGCAGAATTGTACAGTAGTTGAAAGGATGGAGTATGGCACCAGATACCTGAATTCAAAAAATAGATCTGCTACTTATAAGCCACTGACCCTGGGCAAGTCACATAGCCCCGTGCCTCAGTTTCTCCATCTATAAAATAGGATAACAGTACTTATCTCATAAGGCTGTTGTGAGATAAAATAATTTTATATACATAAAGCCTTTAGAGCAATGCCTGGCATGTTTGATAGATTCTGCAGGAGAGATGTCCCAGACCACCAAGAACTAAACTGCCAATGATGTGTGCATACTGATACTGTAGTTGGCACAAATGGCTCTTATTAATTGAGAAGGCAAAGAGCCATCTTGCTGAACTGGGAGGTGGTTGGGGGTGGCCCAGTAAGGCTCTTGCACAGGCCTGGCCCACCTCAGAGTCCCCTAGCTCCTCTCAAGAAGGGCCAGCCTGGGGTGGGTCACTGGGAAGGGAGGGACCCTCACCACCCACGTCCCTTTTAGGTGTTTCAGCAGTGACCTCTCCAGGAGAAGAGGAGCGTGGCACACCCACAGCACCATCTGCTGTAGAGGACTGGATTACTACCCAAGTAGTGCCTGGTGTGGCTGCTGTCCCCTCGGGAGAGGAGACAACTGCAGTCCCAGACTTCACCATTGAACCAGAAAACCAGACAGAATGGGAGCAAGTCTACACCCCAGGGGCCACATCCCCACTGCCAGGTTGGTGTGGCTTAGGCTCTGGGACACACCCCTGTCTGCCTATGGTGTGCCAGGGGGGTGGTTTCTCTCCCTGGGACCTGTGCTCTGTTTCTCCAGCCCTGACACTGGCTAGGTGTACTGCTGTGGGCAACTTTGTCCACCTCAGCTGGCCTCTAGGACCTGCTTCGGAGTGACAAGGACAGTTCATAAAACACTCACACACATATTCACTGTTTCCTTTCCTTTATGTCTCCTGCACACATACTACAAATGTCCGGCACCGTGCCAATCAAAAGGCCCTCAGCTATTCTGTCCTCCCGCACTGACCACCCTACCCTAACCTTTGTTAACCTCTCATGTAGAAGGATCTTCAATAGAGGGGAAAGAACCAGGGAGGGGGTTATTGTTGGAAGTCTGCTGTGACCCGTCTCCTTGCCTTTCTCCTCCTTCTGTGTCCCTCTGCTAAGCCAGGCCTCCCTAGCCAAAACATACTGATAGGATGAAAGCAGCAGTCACCAAACCTTGTTGGAAAAAGTGTTTTGCTGCCACTAAGGTTTGGGAAGTGCTGGCTTACAGAAATTGACAGGTTTCCTCACTGCAGAACTTCTCGGAGCCTTGCACATGCTAATTTGCACGGTAAGTCTCCAAAAGGAGGTAATGTAGGCAGTGTGTCCCAGTGAACCTGACCACAGAGTCTTTTTGTTTTCATGGAGCACTGTTAACATCTAGTGGCTCCCAGTCTGGGTAAGGCTGAATTAAAGCAACGTAGAGTAATGTGTGTGTTTAGTAGAGTCAGCTCCCCTGGAGGGTATGTGCATCTGAAGAAAACAGTGTAACAGAGCTTCCCACTGATTCATCCAGCCATTTATTCCACGCATAGTTCCCGAGCACCAGTGCCAGGTGCTCCTCTGGGTGCCGGAAATTTGAAGCCTGTCCTTCCTCCATGCCAGGTAGGAATGCTTCTGTACAGCAGGTGGGATTCCAGCCCAGAGAGCTCACCCAGCAGACACACCTTCACCAGAACAAGAAAAACTTAGTCCTCTTTGGTGTGAGGTTGTGACTTGACACAGAACTCGGGCAACCACTAGAGGGGAGTTATCAATGGGAAAGTAGCTCCAACAGCCCCATAGAAATGTTTTCTAAACTTCAGTTTCTGACCACCTCACTGATTTCAGCCATATGTGGAAACCTTTGTACTATTGTTTCTTTTTCTTTAAATTGATTTGCTTTAAAAAAGAAATTTAAAATTTATTTAAAAGGGAATTGTTATATCCTGACTGTAAATGGTCATCCTGGTGTGTTTCTGAAAGCATAATTATCAAAATAAAAAGAAAGTCTTTCTGGGTGCCATCTAAAATCATCATGCATGCCACCATGGCTGTACTTCACTCCCCCACTCCCACCCCCAAGATTCTCCTCTAAACAAGAGTGGACTGTGAACCTACTCAATGGACCCAGCACCCTCAGTGATAAAATGCTTCATCTGAAAAATAAGCCCAAAAGTACAAGGGTACTTCAAAAAGTTCATGGAAAAATGGAATTAAAAGATAATAGAGATTTTTCCATGAATTTTTTGCAGTACCCTCATATATGCAAGGTACAAAAGCCACGTAGGTTGTTTTTTAAATGCCAAAGGAAACAAGCCCGAAAGAAAAGAATGTAACCATGATTATTTGAATGGTAGGGTTTTCTTTTTTACTATTTTTCACATCCTCTGTAATAGAGCTCTCAGAATTGAAAACATTAATGTATCTTTTACTAACAGCACCACCTGACCCTCCCTGCCTCAGAGGGATGGGTTGAGAGGGGCAGTTTTCACAGTCGAGCGGGCATCTGCATCACCAGGAGGACACGGCGTCCTGGGCCTGCCCAGAGCTTCTGAGTCAGTGGGCTGCGTGGGGTGTGGGAATGTGCTTCTTTATCAAGCTCCCAGGTGCTGCTGGTGCTGTTGGTGCTGCTGGTCCAGGGACCACACTTTGAAAACTATGAATTTAGGTAAATGAGATAATAATGCACTTGAAGGGTGACCTTGGTTGCCTTCGGAGGTGGCCAAGCCCCCACATCCAATGGGTTGTGTAGGTGGCGCTACCTAGAGTCTCACAAAGCACAACCTGTGTACCCTGTGGCCCTGAGGGGAGTGAGGGGAGCTTCCTGGTCCCCTTCCTTCCTGTCTCCTTCCATCCTTCCTTCCTTCCCAACACACTTACACAGTTCCCTGTTAGAAAACATCTGGACACATCTCTGAGCTCTTGAGAGAAAAGTTTTGCTGTGGGAGAAACGGAGTTCACTTTCTATGTATGAGTTCAAAATAGGACAGAGTTAGTAAATCCACACCTCATCTTTCTTCCTCCTTTCCTGCAGAGATCCCTCCTACCTGGCCTCCCACTGGCACAGCAACAGAGGAAAGCACAGAAGGCCCTTCTACAGCTGAAGTTCCCTCTGCCTCGGAGGAGCCATTCCCCTCGGAGGGGCCGTACACACTTTCACCCCCAGTGCCCAGTGGGACTCAGCTACCAGGCTCTTGGGAGGCATCTGGGGCCCCTGACATCAGTGGTGACTTCACAGGCAGTGGAGAAGCTTCAGGACACCCTGACTCCAGTTGGCAGCCCTCAGGGAGCAGTGCAAGTGGACTGCCATCTGAAGACCTGGAATCCAGTGGTCTCACCTCCACAGTGGGCTCAGGCCTGCCCATGGAAAGTGGATTGGCCTCTGGAGATGAAGATAGAATTGAGTGGTCCAGCACTCCTAAGGTTAGTGAGCTGCCTTCTGGAGGTGAGGGCCTGGAGGTCTCTGCTTCTGGAGTAGGGGACCTCAGTGGACTTCCTTCTGGAGAAGAAGTTCTAGAGACTTCTGCCTCTGGAGTAGGGGACCTCAGCAGGCTTCCTTCTGGAGAAGGTCTAGAGACCTCTGCCTCTGGAGTAGGAGACCTCAGTGGACTTCCTTCTGGAGGGGAAGTTCTAGAAACCTCTGCCTCTGGAGTAGGAGACCTCAGTGGAGTTCCTTCTGGAGGGGAAGTTCTAGAGACCTCTGCCTCTGGAGTAGGAGACCTCAGTGGAGTTCCTTCTGGAGGGGAAGTTCTAGAGACCTCTGCCTCTGGAGTAGGAGACCTCAGTGGAGTTCCTTCTGGAGGGGAAGTTCTAGAGACCTCTGCCTCTGGAGTAGGAGACCTCAGTGGAGTTCCTTCTGGAGGGGAAGTTCTAGAGACCTCTGCCTCTGGAGTAGGAGACCTCAGTGGAGTTCCTTCTGGAGGGGAAGTTCTAGAGACCTCTGCCTCTGGAGTAGGGGACCTCAGTGGACTTCCTTCTGGAGGGGAAGTTCTAGAGATCTCTGCCTCTATAGGGGACCTCAGTGGACTTCCTTCTGGAGAAGAAGTTCCAGAGACCTCTGCCTCTGGAGTAGGAGACCTCAGTGGACTTCCTTCTGGAGGAGAAGTTCCAGAGACCTCTGCCTCTGGAGTAGGAGACCTCAGTGGACTTCCTTCTGGAGAAGTTCTAGAGACCTCTGCTTCTGGAGTAGGGGACCTCAGCGGGCTTCCTTCTGGAAAGGAAGGTCTAGAGACCTCAGCTTCTGGAGCTGAGGATCTCAGTGGATTGCCTTCTGGAAAAGAAGACCTGGCAGGGTCTGCTTCTGGAACCTTGGATTTTGGCAGACTGCCTTCTGGAACTGTAGGAAGTGGGAAAGCTCCAGAAGCAAGTGGACTTCCCTCTGGATTTAGTGGTGAGTATTCTGGGGTGGACCTTGGAAGCGGCCCGTTCTCTGGCCTGCCTGACTTTAGTGGACTTCCGTCTGGTTTCCCAACTGTCTCTCTAGTGGAAACCACATTGGTGGAAGTGGTCACAACTACCACTGCAAGTGAACTGGAAGGGAGGGGAACCATTGACATCAGTGGTGCAGGAGAAATATCTGGGTGGCCCTTCAGTGAGTTGGACATTAGTGGGGGAGCCAGTGGACTCCCTTCAGGAGCTGAACTCAGTGGCCAAACATCTGGATCTCCTGACATCAGTGGGGAAACATCTGGACTCTTTGGTGTCAGTGGACAGTCATCAGGGTTTCTGGACATCAGTGGGGGAACATCTGGGATTTTGGAAGTCAGTGGGCAGCCATCAGGGTTTCCTGACATCAGTGGGGGAACATCCGGGATTTTTGAGGTCAGTGGGCAGCCATCAGGGTTTCCTGACACGAGTGGAGAAATATCTGGAGTGACTGAGCTTAGTGGACTGTCCTCTGGGCAACCAGATGTCAGTGGAGAAGCATCTGGAGTTCTTTATGGTGGTGGCCAACTATATGGCATAACCGACCTGAGTGGAGAAACATCTGGGGTCCCTGATCTCAGTGGGCAGCCATCAGGGTTGCCAGGGTTCAGTGGGATGACACCTGGAATCCCTGACCTGGTTTCTAGTGTCATGAGTGGTAGTGGGGAATCTTCTGGTATTACATTTGTGGACACCAGTTTGGTTGAAGTAACCCCTACTACATTTAAAGAAGAAGAAGGCTTAGGATCTGTGGAACTCAGTGGCTTCCCTTCCAGGGAAGCAGATCTGTCAGGCACATCTGGGATAGTGGATGTCAGTGGACAATCTTCTGGAACAATCGATTTCAGTGGGTTTACCTCCCAGGCTCCAGAATTCAGTGGCCTACCGCATGAAGTAGCTGAGGTCAGTGGAGAAGCCTCTGGCGCTGAGACTGGGAGCAGCCTGCCCTCGGGAGCATATGATGGCAGTGGACTTCCGTCTGGTTCCCCCACTGTCTCTCTTGTAGACAGAACTTTGGTGGAATCTGTAACCCAGGCTCCAACAGCTCAAGAAGCAGGAGAAGGACCTTCAGGCATTTTGGAACTCAGTGGTGCCCACTCTGGAGCACCAGACATGTCTGGAGACCATTCCGGATTTTTGGACCTAAGTGGGCTGCAGTCCGGGCTGGTAGAACCAAGTGGAGAGCCACCAAGTATTCCATATTTTAGTGGGGACTTTTCCAGCACCACTGATGTAAGCGGAGACTCCTCTGCAGCCACTGGCACCAGTGGGGAGGCCTCAGGGCTTCCAGAAGTTACTTTAATCACTTCTGAGTTCATAGAGGGTGTTACTGAACCTACTGTTTCCCAAGAACTTGGCCAAAGACCCCCTGTGACACACAAACCCCAGCTTTTTGAGTTCAGTGGAGAAGCCTCTGTGTCTGGGGACATTAGTGGAGCTACACCAACAATCCCGAGTTCTGGGATAGAAGAGTCATCAGTCCCAGAATCCAGCAGTGAGATACCTGCCTATCCTGAGGCTGAGGTGGGGGCATCTGCTACCCCCGAGGCCAGTGGAGAAGCTTCTGGCTCCCCCGATCTGAGTAAAACCACGTCTGCCTTCCGTGAAGCTGATCTGGAGAGAGCCTCAGGCCTGGGGGTGAGTGGCAGCACTTTGACCTTTCAGGAAGGCCCCACAGAGGGGTCGGCTGCCCCGGAAGTGAGTGGAGAATCAACCACCACCTACAATGCAGGCACAGAGGCATCGGGCTTGCCTTTAGCCACTCCCATGGCTTCTGGGGACAGGACTGAAATCAGTGGAGACCTGTCTGGTCACACCTCAGGCCTGGATGTTGTCATCAGCACCAGTGTCCCAGAGTTCGAGTGGACCCAGCAGACCCAGCGCCCTGCAGAGGCGCAGCTAGAAATTGAGTCCTCAAGCCCTTTGTACTCAGGAGAAGAGACCCAAACAGCCAAAACAGCCACCTCCCCAACAGACACGTCCATCCCAGCTTCTCCGGAAGGGACAGGTGAATCAGTGTCAACCACTGCAGGTATTGTTGATTTTTTTTTCTCTTTTGAATGTGCTCAGGTAGTTCAGACTGTAGTCAACTGTAGCACAGTAGGAGACAGTGCAGCGTTAAGGTTCCAAGCACAGCTCCACCAGAGATGAGTTGTGCAGCCTCAGGCAAGCTTCTTAACCTCTCTGAGCCTCATCTGTAAAATGGGACTTGTACCAGGGAAGATTAAATAGAATGTGAATGTAGATAAAGCACGCGCCTAGCATCGTACTTTGCACACAGTGCACACTTATAAAGATTAGTGATCGTTATCGTTACAGTGGAGTTACATCACGTGAACATTTACATGTGAATGCAACTATCTGTACTTGGCACAGGGAGGGAGAAGAATGACTGTTGAGATAGTGCCAGAAATTGTTACACATCCCGCTCCGAGTGAGCGTGTGACGAGAGAGTGAATCTGCTGGTGACATTTTGTGTCCAAATACCTCTTTTGTGAAGGGTTAAAACCTGCCCTGTGTTCCCACCCACATCCCAGCACAAAGCATATCATAAATTGTCTCACCTGGATGTAATCCCAGCACCAAGCTCCGGGCACCAGTAGCAGATTTTTCTCAGATTTTTGCTTTGGGATTCCTGGTACTTCCCTTTGTGCTGAGAAAGTTTTCAAAATTTGAAAGACCTCCCAGATGCTGTGGACCAGGTGGCCAGGAGGGACAGAGTACCCAGAAACATGCTGACCCAAAGCCTCATGGACTGAGGGGACCTTGTGCCCTAACTGCAAATTCTCAGGGCTGTGCTGGCACCCAGATGGCTGTGTTCTTGATGCTCCACCTCTCCCCTGGGGGTTGCAGCCCCTGCCAGGTCCTGTGCTGAGGAGCCCTGTGGCGCTGGGACCTGCCAGGAGACAGAGGGACATGTCATATGCCTGTGCCCCCCTGGTCACACTGGCGAGCACTGCAACATAGGTCAGACCCTCAATCAACTGTGGGGGATGAGGGCAGGGGTGCTAGATGGACTCCTTCATCCCAAGAAGGGACCCCAGGTGGGAGGAGGTGACCAAGGTCAACCGAGGCTTCTCAGACCGGGAAGGAGAGGTGCACAATGAACTGTTGTGGGTAGAAGCCACAGGATAAACATGGCTCATCTTTCTAGAGCATCTAGTCCAGATGATGTTTTAGGAGAAAAAAGTCAAGTTAAATAATTAAGCTTGTAAGTAGTTTTATGTCAAGCCAATGACTATTTTATGAGTAGAATGCAAAATGTGCTTGAATTTTGAAGATAAAACTTGAGACTTCAAAGAAAGCTTGGGGTGAGTAGTGGGGATAGCTGATCGCACCCCTCCGTCCCTAGGAGGGAATCTCTGAGGGAGCCATCTTCCTTCATGCAGAGTGAACCCCAGCAGGCACCCCCTGCAGTCTGGTGGGGTTTGAGTCCCTCTTGCCTGAAGGAAACACCACAGACAGAGCTTGTCACCCCAGCATGGGGATTCAGGGGCACCCTTCCCCTGGGCACCCCCTGCTCTGGAGCATCTGTTTGTCCTTAGCCATGAGTCAAGCAGCTCGTGGGATGGGTGAGGAGCTTGGGGACCCTCTGATTGGAGGCGGCCCCCAAAACAAGATTAGAATCCACCTCTCATCCCGTGGACACGTGCAAAGCCTGTGGCCATGGTGCCATTTCATCTCTTCTACGTCACCACCCTTGAGAGAGGAAATGCCTGGTTACCTCCAAGCTCATATTCTTGAGTTAACTGTCTCCACTGCCGCAATGCCCTCATCCCCAGCCTCTCTCCTAAGTCAGGAATCAGAGACCCAGGGTCTTTCATAAAAGGGCTTCATTCCTAGGACACATGCAAACATGGAGAAATGAATCCTGGGGAAAAAACTACTACTAGGCGAACCATGCCAGGCAACTGTCCTCCACAGCCTTACATCATTCCCAAAGAAAGATTCCGTGTTTATATATATTAATGTATGTAAATTAACGCATCATTATGTACCGTATACTCATATAATATAAATATACTGTACACTTGGCACTTACACGGTAAAATATATGTATAAACATATATATTTATATATTTATTTGATTGTATGTAAATATAAATATATATATATATAAACAGGTTAGGGTAGATAACTGCTCACTCTTTCCCCCATTGGGGTCAGCCTCTGCCCACGTGTGGGGGCCAGAACCTGAGAACACTGTGGGCCTCCAAGGCCAGAGAGGGTGAATTATGCAAGGAAGGTCCTGGCCTTACTGCCAAGGGAGCAGTTACCACAGGGCCGTAGTGACCCTAGGGACTATAGCTGTACCCCTGTTGGGTGACTCCATTCTTGGCAATTCCTTCCTAACCTGACACTTGAAGCAAAAATGTGACACTGGTATCAGAAGTCACAGCAAGGCTGGTGTCCTCAGCATTCCTTAACTATTCTGTAAGGACAGCCTTTGTCTGATTATGTATATTTCTAAAGGACTTTCTTCCCCACAATTTCTTCAAGACAGGTCTGTGAGCAGCTTGGTAATTACCCCCACATGAAACTGGAACACAGAGAAGTTAAGTAATTTGCTTAACTGTCGAGTGAGCTGAATCAAAGATTGAGGTTTGAATTCACTTAACATAATGGGCTAAACAAGAAACTCCCTCTTTAACATAATAACCAGCTGCTGGTCTCAAAGAACTGAAGCCAGCCTCCTGGGGAGCCAGACTGGAGAGTGGCTGTAGAACCTCCGTTGCTCTGATTCAGCACAGCCCAACCCTCACTTTCCTCATTTATAAATAGGGGTCAATGTAAGTAGTTCTCAGCTTTCAAAAAGTATGATGCCTGGGACCCACCCCCATGGATCTGATTGAAATGGGTCTGTGGCCTTGGCATTACGGTTTGTTAACTGACTCCAATGTGCAGCCACACATTGGAGGGTTGAGAACCACTGCTGTAAGGATTAGGATCGTCTGTGTACATCTGGCCAGAAGATGCATTTAATAAAAATGGGTTCCCTCCCCCATCACTCACTCCACTGGTTAGGCAAAGCTTTAGCATCTCCAAAGAGCAAGTGACGAGGATCAGCCCAGCACAAAACCTGGGGTCTCATTCCCCATGACCTTATCCCTGGGGTCCCAAGTCACTCCTGTTCGGTTTCCCTCAAGGCTCACACGCTTGCAAAAGTGCATACGGCAGGGCCGGCCCGTGGCTCACTCAGGAGAGTGCGGTGCTGATAACAACAAGGCCACGGGTTCGGATCCCATATAGGGATGGCCGGTTTGCTCACTGGGTGAGCGTGGTGCTGACAACACCAAGTCAAGGGTTAAGATCCCCTTACCGGTCATCTTTAAAAAAAAAAAAAAAAAAAAAGTGCATACGGCGGATGGTGTTCAGTCACCGTTGTCTTAACACCAGAACCAGGAAACACAAGTTGTTAAAAAGAGCATGGATCCTCCAAAGGCCATGCATAGCAGTACGCAGGATTATTCCCGGGCACTATTTGAATACTCAGGGAAAACTTCTTCCTCATAAAGGGGGTTAGAGACTGTATATAGTTCTAAAAGAAAACTTATGAAAAATTACTTCACCTTATTTAGTTGGTATTCCATAAACAAGTTCTGATAAATTATTAATCAGTACTTTTGACTTCAAAATAAACATCTGTTTAATGAATACTTAGATTCTTTAGCAATTAAAAGCAGGACTAGTCTACTCTGATCCACTTAAAAAGCAGTAGTGTATCCCCACCTCCATTTTTGATAGCACCCGTGGGAATTAATCCTAGCTCTGAAGTTTTACTCCTAGTGCTGCTTAGAATTACCTGGGAGCGGGGCTGAGCTCGTGGCGCACTCCGGAGAGTGCAGCGCTGGGAGTGCAGCAGCGCTCCCGCCGCGGGTTCGGATCCTATATAGGGACGACCGGTGCACTCACTGGCTGAGCGCGGTGCAGCTGGCCACAAAAAAAAAAAAAAAAGAATTACCTGGGGTGCTCTTAAGAGGCATCGTGCCTGGGTCCCACCCTGAGATATTCCAATTCAATTAGTTTGGAGAGGGACTCTGGCATTGGTATTTTTAAGCAATCTTTAAATTAAAAAAAGAAAAAGAAAAAATTTAACTACCCCCAGTGATTCGAACTTGCAGCCAAGGTTGAAAAATATTTGTTCTAACCAGATCTCACATCCAATTTCCAGTCATCACTGGTGCTGTGTGAACTTCTCTTAACCTCTCACTTAGAAGGGTATAAATTTAAAACTTTATCAACCTCCTTTCTATTTTACTGCCATTTTTCACTTTCTAGGTTTGGAGCTTTTTGGGGGGGATGGGGATTGGCTGGTCTGTAGGGGATCCAAACCTTCAACGTTGGTGTTATCAGCTCCATGCTCTAACCAATTAAGCTAACCTGCCAACCCTAAGGTTTGGAGCTTCGATCTATGATCTATCTGACTCTGTCTCTTCCTTTAGGGGAGATGTTTGAATTTCAGAGAAACCTTTATCACTGGGAAAGAAATGCTTTCTTTTTTTTTTTTTTTTTTTTTTTTTTTTTTTTGTTTGTTTTTAGAGATGCTTTCAAAGCAAGTGAAAATACGATGGGCTGGCCCATGGCTTACTCGGGAGAGTGCGGTGCTGATAACACCAAGGCCACAGGTTCAGATCCTATATAGGGATGGCTGGTTAGCTCAGTGGCTGAGCGTGGTGCTTACACCCAGCCAAAGGTTAAGATCCCCTTATCAGTTGTCTTTGGAAAAAAAAAAAAAAAGCAAGTGAAAATATGAAAATACAAATTTCACCTTCTTGACTTAACAGAAACTTCATGGTAATTTAACAGGCAACTAACTAAATTTAAAAACCAGGATGTTAAAGTTACATTCGAGATAAAAGACTTGAAATAGTGTAAATAATGATAGCATACTTTTTAATGATGTTTATTTTAAAAGCAAATTGAAACTGACAAGTACACTCTTATAATCCTTCTCTCAATTCTCTAACAGACCCAACCCAGAAAGTCAATGTATCTGCTCAGGTCTGTCCATCCTGATTGATCCCAGGTCTTTGCAGGGTGCACAACATCCAATGAATTAAGAAATTTTCTCTATACTTCTGGAGGGGATTTTCCCCCACCCTTGTCCAGGAAAGTTATGTCCAGAGTTCCGCATACAGCTGCACAGGTTGTGCACTAAACAACTTGAAGAGCGCCATTCATATCAGTCTTTATGAGTGGCAACACCTTTAGTTGAGTATCACTTGAGTAAAATCACCTGCACTCACTCTTCATTCAGCATTTTCTGTGAGCAGATAAACTCTTACTCACCTGGAGGTCCTGGGCTCTGACCCAGGTGAAAACCGGACAAGACTTATTCAAGGTGGAGACCTGAGGTCTCCAATTCAGACACCAAAGTGGTTATTTGTAAGTGACTCTATTCCCCTAGCCTTCACCAGGGGCTCTCAGTTACCTTCTCCCCTAAGTTAGAAATATTGCTGGAGGGCCTTGTTCAGGAACAAACCAACCCTTTTGGTTATAGTAGTGGGAAGAGGACCCTGAGAGTCTTGACATTCTCCAGAGTTCCTGCTCAGTGACGACAGGAGAGCCCTTGGTGGCTGTAGCAGAAATGGTAATGAGGTGCTGAGAGTCCAAGACCCCAGTGTCTCTCTCCCTCCATGGGACAGAGGCCCAACTTCCAGTATCATTTCCTGACTCCCTCCTCCGTCTCTTCCGATCTATCTGCCCCACTTTCCAGCCTGGGCAAGTCACTTCACTTGTTTCCTTACCTAATGATGTCCATGCCACCAGGCTGTTGGGAGGATAATGGATGTGTGAGTCAGCATCTGGCTCAGAGAAGGTTCTTGATAGTTACTAGTTCCCTCCCTTTCCTCTCTTCCTTCATGAAGCCACCACATTGCCCAAAGCTCTTCCCCCCTCCACCTGCTAACACCTTGTCTGGGACCCCCACTCTACGCTCACAGCAGGGCCTAGCCCGATGCCTCCCT